TTAGAAATTTAGAGTAGATGTAGATTACATCAGTTAATATTAAAACTACCGATTTCATTTTTTCACCACATATTTAGGTAGTTAAGTGCTTAGAGAAAATATAAATATTAATGAATGAGCTCATTCTGTACTAGTATTGAACTAACCATCTATTGTTGTAGTCTGAGAATTTGGCAAAAGCTTATGCGAAAGTCAAGGAATTGGAAAGGAAGAAAAATAGATCCGTTTATCAAATATCTTACTGTACAAATCGAGGTCTGAAATTTCTGGCTAAGCGATATCCAAACTCACAAATTTCATATTTTCAGATCAACCCAATAAAACTGCTGAGCAGGACGAAGCTTTAGACAGTCAGATAATACAATATTGCAAGAATTTATACGGTCGAAAAATTGATAAATTATTACCACCCTTAGCTTCTTCGAGACGGAGTAAGGAAATAGTCATTATATCTAGCTTTAATCATGAAATAGTCAAACTAGGTTATAAGTAGGTATTTAGGTATTATCTGCATCTAGTTTGATGATTACAACATACCTTCTATATATTTAATAATTTTTAACGATGTGCAGCCATCTCCTATGAAAAAATAATTTTGTAAGTCACCAATGCTTTTGATCCTTTATATACGTTCCAAAATAGATACTGATCACTAGTGACATCAATTGACTAATTTGTGCGGAACCGTATGAAACCTGGATGCTAAGACATTAATTTTATTTCGCGCTGGATGAATCACTGTTTACAAATAAACTACTTTATCCATGACAGTATCCACACCCATTACTCGTAAATCCACTCAAAGCGAAAAGGAGATAATTAATTTTACACTTTTAATTAGTCTTTTTACAGGAACAGCGAATCATAGACAAGCTTTATTTCAATACACTGCAAAATTTTGAATATATATGATATATTTACAACCAATTTTTTTTTTTAGTTAAATATTTATTCCATAGAGTAAGTAAATGTTATATTGAAACACTGGTAAGGGTATTCGGAAATTAAAAATGTGTTATATTAAATAATTTATTTAAAGAAGTAGCTGGAAATACTGAAATAGTATCCAGAGATAAGGCAATTTTCTGAGAAAATTTAAGTTAAGCATTAAGCACAATAAATCGTCAAATATAAATGCGTTGGAACCTATTTAGAGATGTTAAGCCAGGGCCTCACACATGTATCATAATGCTTTGGACGACTATACTTAGACTGAGGAAACTGTATTCATATAAACGTTTCAACCAATTATTCCATGTTGAAATGTGTAGCCGTTTATCATATATGCAGCAGATAAAAATTGCATACAATGTAGTACGAGATAAATGCTCACAAAATGTAAAGAGCAGAACATACCTCTTCCAAAATAGTAAACAGCACTTAACTTACTGCTATGAATGATTCATTATGGCAAATGTATAAATTTTATTGAAATACTTCATTAAAATTTTTATGTGGCGTTTTTATAAATTCATCATATCTTTTGTTGGCACAGAAGATTTCAGTGTTAAAAATATCTAAAAAATTATACTTGTTTACTCTTACTTTACCGTTTGTGTGGTTTCTCATCTGCAATTATGCATTTGATTGGTCCATCTTTCTCTGCATATTTTACTTTTTTAATTATATAGAATATGTTGGTTCGATTGCCAATTTTATATTTTTTTTAGTAAAAATTAACACTAGTTCAAATGAATTAGAAATCATTTCCGACTCCTTAGGGAGTGTAAATCAACTGACAGTTTAGTACCTACAGAATTACAATTGAAAAATTGTTTGCTCCTAAGAGAGTTGTAATCAAGAATAACACAAAAAAATGTATCTTAGACAAAGGTTTATTGTACATCAAAGATGCAAGGATACACAGATATATTGTAGATAAGATTGCATGTATAGGTGTGAGACCGCTTCAAAGAGGAGAGATAGAACTTCCTGTTTGCACAAGCTTCTGTTTCTCACAAGCTAACTTATTTCTGTTGACCTGTACTTATACCTGAAGATCATAACATTTGGCATGTTATTCTTGAAGCTTTTTTGCCGCAAACCATATATTTTATCTTTAAGATCTCTAAGAGCAACATTTTTCTCAGTTAGCATAACCTTCATTCCAAATTAACTTTCAGATAGAGATTATTTTATATGTCTGCAATTGATTTAATAAATGTGAAATGCTGCAAAATCTTCGTATCTGAATTCATTAAATTTTGCGACTGAAAACATACATCGGTAATAAATTTTTGAAACCGACACAGATGCACAAACCAAATTTGGACAGACTTAGCTAATACAATGCGAAACATCGCCTTAGCGTTAAAAATGTTGTCACCGCCGTTCTTAGTAGTGAAAATTCGAAATATTTGGATTTATTCAATTTTCGCGACATTCATAGGTATTGAATTTTCAAAACCGAAAGTTGCACTAACCAAATTTGGACAGGACATAGTTACTACAGTGAGACACATCGCCTTACTGTTAAAAATGATGTCACCGCCGTTCTTGTTATTGAAAATTCGAATTATTTGGAATTATTCGATTTTCGTGGTTGAAAACAAACAAACGTATTCAATGTTTGAATCCGAGAGAGATGCCCTAACCAAATGACAGGACATAGCTAGTACAATGCGAAACATCGCCTTACTGTTAAAAATGTTGTCACCGTCGTTCTATGTGGTGAAAATTCGAAATATTTGGATTTCTTCAATTTTCGCAACTGAAAACATACATAAGTTAGAATCCACCCACAATTAATTTAGTTATTTTTTGTTAATGTTGGTTAATCTATATCCTCAGAATATTCAATGTATTTCAATATTTAATTATTTAACAGAATTAATAGAGTATTAAAATATCACTTTTTTGTCAAGCATTTCCATCTTACTTAAATGTTAAATATGGAAGACATTAGACTTATATTTTATTTTCTTACTATATCCAAAAACACTCTAAACTTACAACTCCAAGCAACTCCAAAATTATTATCCATTCGCGTCATTCAAGCTTCTTATAACTTCACTCACAATCAGTGAGGCCTGTTCAATTTATTTTTTTAGGGCCTTAAATTAAATTTTCCAGCTGTTAATAAAGGTCTAAATGAATAATCTACAATAATCGTCTAACTTTCTCTTTCCTTATTTTCTAAGATCAACTTAAGCATTTAATATTTAAAAATAATATTTCTCAAGTCTCGTAACTCTTGTTTTTTAGTATTTGGATATATTCGCCGAACAAGACTCATTACTCCCTTGACAGTCTATCAAAATGAATTCGGAAGACCAGCTTGTAATATATTGGAAGGAAAGGACGTTGAAAAAGTTGCGGACTAACTACAAGATTTTTTATTTATAATTATGTATTATTATAAATAGGTAGGTACACGTTTGTGCCATACGTATACAAAATTTGAGGAAAGAAACTGGTACTGTTAAAAATAAAATAAAAACTCAATAATTCTAAAACCCTTTTTCACTGGAGTATTTATAAAATAAAGTCAATTAATAGCAACATTACTTATTTTATTTTGTTTTTCGTGTTTAAATTAGAATCCGTGGAAATAATAGATGATGACGTTTTACTCAGATAGAGGCAGAATCATGGAAGAAGTTTTTATTTTAAGTTTTTTATTTTTACTAAATAGAATTTTCCAATTCTCTAGTTATGTTTTCCTGCAGTATAGATGGCATGGGCGTAGCCAGAGGGGGACAGCAAGTTTCAAAAATGAATTATTATTACTGAACACATTTTTCATCATCCAGTCAAATAAAAAAGTGTTGAGGTTTTGAAATTTTATATCGGTAAATCGCTGATTGTGTGACTTTTTTTTAGAGTCGAACAAAAAAGTGGTTAGGTGTTAGAAGTGCGTGAGCTTTTTTAGAGGTCTCCATAGAGCTTGTAACTTTTGGCCCATCCCAAGAAAAAATCCTAGCTACGCCCATGATAGATGGCACTGTCAAAAACGATCAAAAGTACCTAATTTAAACGTAAATGTACAATTCACTGGATTTAATCGCAACGAAACGTCAATGCAAATACTTTAATATTGGCGAATCGTAAGCTGGAATGTGTATCAAAAATCAATTGCATTTGCGCATTTGCCTATAGTTACTATAGAAATATAAGGCTAATATAAATACGATCAAATACAAATACAAAAATGGCAAATATGTGTTACAAATCTTTTGGGAAAATTAAATAAAAAATGATAGGAAAACTAATGAAAAAATTAATCTTTATATAGGAAGCATTTGAACAAATGAGGATAAATTCTATCAGATAATTTTGATACTAAAACTACTTCGATGATAAATAGGCAAAATAGGTACAAAATTGCTTAATTCATTTACGCATTTAAATTGAAATTAAAGAAACTAATTAATCTAACCCAGTAATGAACTGATTATACTCAAATTTTTTATATAAAATAAAATATTGAGACACTATTAGAATATAAAATTCATCTCAATATTCAGACGTGTTATATATGTAGCTAAGCTCTTTATTAAAAATAAAAATATAATACTTTACACTCATTGCATCTGGCATAATTCCAAGCAATTTTAATTTATAGCAAAACTGTAGATTTTCTTAGGAAAATACTACTTATTTGCTACTAATCGATTAATGGCATAACATTTTTAATTTAAAAAAGTGTAGTAATTACAATAATAGCACGCCACTGAAGCTACACTATAGCACTGTATTTCAAATTTGATAATTCGTTAGTTTCTCAGGCACAGAAAATACTTTCTTCATATAACAATTTTGAAGTAAGGTGTATTTATTGCATTTTGATCTCAAATTATCTGGTAACATTTATTTAAAAACTCTCTATACATTATTGCTTTTAATTTATCAGTTATCCTGTTCTGTAGAAAATAAAAGAATGGACAGTATATGAAATATGACTATGTGGTTAGAAAAAAAAAGTATATGGATTTAAAAGCTACCCTTTATAAATTAAAAATATAAAAACAAGTAAAGAGAAAAGCATCTTTTTTATTTGTTTACTCAACTTTGTCGATTTTCCCATGCATTTCATTCTCGACTATAAATCTTCCTAACTTACCGATTACAGTATTATATTCACTATCGATTTTACGTAGCTTCATTATCTCATTTAATTTTTCTAAAACAAAAAGCGAAAAATATAACTGACATATACAAACTCAGAGTGATTCATTTATGGAGTCACACAGGCCTTGTAAGGGATCGTAAAATATGATCAGAGACAATATAGCTTCGCTCTAAGCTATATTGTCTGTGATATGCTTGTACCTCTATGACAAATTGCTTCTCTTAGCCATCAAACAGCTACATATTTTTTTTTTCAAATAACTAAAACGTTTTATTTAATTTACAAGCTACAGTATTGGTGCACAGAAGAATTATTTTTGAGATGGCAACCCAGATAATTATATTTAGAACTGCGAAAAATATGCCCACCCTTAAGCAAACATTTTTTGGGTCGGTAGCCCTACAATTTCAGATTAATCTAACATTAAAGCGGGGAGTTTTTCAGTTTTTTGTCGCATCATTCTGCAAATTATCTATAGTAGTTTCTATTGAAATCACCTATTTTAACACTCTTCAAATAAGGATCAGAGAGATACAAATTTGATAGTCCCAATCTACAGAATGGCAGATACAATTTTTTTATTAGATTATGTGTTATTGAAAATGGTTGTTATTTCCAAAAGGAAGAATATCCTCTTGAAAGGATATTCGACTAAAAGATCTGTACTCTAGGAAGCATTGTTTGTTTTTATTTATCAAATGAATACAATTTTTCTTGACAATTAAGCAAAAACCTTAGTTATCTATACAAAAAGTTTGCTGAACGCAAAAAATTGATATAAGCCCTTACTACTGAGATAAAAAAGCTGAAGTTGCAATATCAAAAATGAGAATATTTGCAAGGAGCGACAGTATTTTTCTCGATTCGGTAAACGCATTTACTTCGGTTACTATGTTAGAAATTGCACTTATACTCAGTAGTAGCATACCAATTTTCATTTAAATTGAACAAAACGGTTTACGGTTATTTGAAAAAATTGCCAACTTTGACGCCATCTATCGGCTAAAGCAAGTACCTAAGATGTAAGTTACGCTACATCATATTTTAGGGTCCATAGATATGCCTCGTCATTTATGAATCACCCTGTATATCTATCGTCATTAAGAATTACTACAAATTGAATTACCATCTGGCACAATATTATCGACGGGCTTTATTGGGGATGGCCGATCTAAACCACATTCCGTAAGTGAAGAGGGATCTCTAAAATCGTATTTTTGAGTTGTCAAAGGAAATACCCACCCATCCGGCAAGCGATGAGCTAATTTCTCCAATTTGGCCATTTTTCTCAACATGTCTCCTTCTAAAACAGGCAAAAGTGTAGAAAACAGTTTTATTTTTAATTGCAGTTAGCCTCAAATTGAATATACAGGGTGTAACTTTAAACGGAAGTCAGTTAGGGGTTACAATAGATATTCCCCAGAGTACTAACCTGAAATTAAATTTTTAAATCAAATAAACAGCCGAATTGGGATTTGGAAAAAACAAAGTTTTGATGTAAGTATTTTGTATTATTCACAGGTAGTTTCCGTACAAATTTGGCCTCCACATAAATTTACACTCTGAAAAACTTTCTGGTGTACAGAGAAAAGAAAATCCTCACCTACATCACAATACTCAACTTGATATACCGATTTCCCATTTAATATTTTATCCCATGTTATTACCTTATGATCAAGAGGCTGTTCAAAATACTTTTTACCAATTTTCTTCCGATCATCTTTTACCTGAAATGATATAAAATGGTAGGTATATAATAATTATTTTTTAAAATAGGCGAAATATGCTGTCTATATGTAATTTTCTTTTACGACATAACTTACTCGCTCTACATAAACATCCACATCCTCAACTGGAGGTTTCAATTCTTTTTTATCAATTTCCAAATATGTTTCAAAAGCGTGACCCATAGGATCCTTAAACTCTTGTTCTACTTTTAAATTTGGCTGCCTGTAAAAGTAAAATTAAAAATATTTTCCACTATAATAACTATGATAATTGCTGATTTGTGTCTAAATATAGTATATACAACATATCTTTTAATTTTAATTACGTACTCTTTCAGTTTTCGTTTAATAAAATCTTTTCTGTATGTAGTAGTATACTGACAACGTATTTTTTTCTCTTCTGAATCCATCTTAATTGAGCAAATAAATTTGGAAAGTTGTCAGACTGACACAAAATTAAAGTTTTATTTACAAGGAATTCGATTTTTAAATTGTGTATTTTTCTGCATGGTTAGTTGCCTATCCTAATCATAAGGGCAGTTTTTATTTTAAACATGTGGCGATCCTGTTTGATAATGCTGTTGTTATAATTTGACAGCTGAAGTTTCTTTATAGATAAAAATACGTCAAGAAACTGTGTCGTATAAGTTGCAATTATAATCAAGTATTTAATAGCGAAGTAAATAATGTCCGTATAATAACAGGTTATAAAAATAGAAAAAAAAATGACAAATTTGCAAGAAGTTCCAACAGACGAGCTGTTGTCATTTCACGACTACCCAACTGTTCATAGTGTTGGAAACAACACAACAATACCGATTTCAGAATCGCAAATTAAAGTAAATGATTTAAGTGGAAATTTTCAACAGTCCCCAAACAATCAAGGAGCTGGAAGTGCACCTAATATTGGGGACAATGCAGGTTTGTGTCTTGCGTAAGTTGCTTTAGATTATAGTTAATGTTTTGCCTGTATTGCAGATCCTAGCACAACAAAATCATTTTGGACTCTAGAATACTATCAGAAATTCTTTGATGTAGACACAAGAGATGTAGTCGATAGAATATTCGCTTCCATTACACCTAAATGGGACAATTCATTGAAACACCATCTGAGAACAAAGCCGGATTTATACGGCCCCTTCTGGATATCAGTTACCCTTATATTCACGATAGCCATCAGTGGTAATATCGCCAATTATCTCCACTATGCCAATACACAGTACCACTGGAAATATAATTTTCACTTAGTATCATACGCTGCAACAACTATTTGTTTGTACGTTACGTTAGTACCATTTATATTGTGGGGCCTACTAAAATGGAGTTCCCAGATTAATGACATTGAAGGACTCGAGGAAAACGTAACCCCAGGAGCTTTGGAATTAATATGCATTTATGGTTATTCTTTATTTATTTATATCCCCGTTTCTGTTCTGTGGTCTATACAAATCAATTTGTTGCAGTGGTTATTGGTGTTAATAGCAGCGTTTATCTCAGGTTCGGTTCTGCTTTTAACTTTAATGCCTGCTTTGAGGTTGTCAAGGCATAAGCTGCTACTGATGCTTGGTATTATATCGTGTCATTTATTATTAGCCATAGGTTTCATGTTGTACTTTTTCCATGATCCTAATAACGTAATTAGCACGGTTGCACCGCATCTTGCCCCTAAAGAAGTAGTAGTCCCAATTAAACCAACAAATTCATCTTAAACGTATAAATTTATTTGTATTATAATATAACCATGTTTTAGAAATATATAATATACAAACTTATTTTTAATTTTTGATTCCCTTAACTACGAACATCAGAATCGATATGTTCAAGGCAGAACGACGTGAACTACACTTATAACTTTCCATATCAGTTTGTTATTTTTAGCAGTTATAGTTCTGTCTGTATTTTGCCTTGCACACAACAAATGTTTCTTAAAAGTACTTCGGGACTTCAATTAAAACAATATAACACAGTAAAATAATGGGATATTCAGAAAACCTACTTAAAACATCCCTATAATTATTAAATAAGTGATTAGAACAATATAAAATAAAGCAATCTGATTCCATGCTGCACTTATGTAAATAATGTCATAGATCCTTTGTTGGTAAAGTTTTTTTTAACAGTTCAGTCCAAATGGTACGACTAGATCCTCCTTATGATCCACTTTAATATCATTTATTGCAGCGGCAGCCGCAGATACAGTTGTAGTTATCTAAAACAGTATTTGAAGATTGTTCAACCGGTAATGGCTCACAAAAATTAAACTGGCCATATTTCATTTATTCATTTATTTTTCTTCATAGTGATGTCTAGTTCAATTTTAATTTGATATTTACATTCCATTTTTCAAATTTAACTAAGAAAAGGATCAGCCGCCTATTTTATTTCATTTCGCAATTTTTTATTGAAATTTTTTCATCATGGAAGTTCTCTATGTGGGACTAGATATTATTCTCAAAATAATGACATATTCGTAGCAAATTTGGTTTTCAAAATATGACCACCTTAAATTTCNGATTAGAACAATATAAAATAAAGCAATCTGATTCCATGCTGCACTTATGTAAATAATGTCATAGATCCTTTGTTGGTAAAGTTTTTTTTAACAGTTCAGTCCAAATGGTACGACTAGATCCTCCTTATGATCCACTTTAATATCATTTATTGCAGCGGCAGCCGCAGATACAGTTGTAGTTATCTAAAACAGTATTTGAAGATTGTTCAACCGGTAATGGCTCACAAAAATTAAACTGGCCATATTTCATTTATTCATTTATTTTTCTTCATAGTGATGTCTAGTTCAATTTTAATTTGATATTTACATTCCATTTTTCAAATTTAACTAAGAAAAGGATCAGCCGCCTATTTTATTTCATTTCGCAATTTTTTATTGAAATTTTTTCATCATGGAAGTTCTCTATGTGGGACTAGATATTATTCTCAAAATAATGACATATTCGTAGCAAATTTGGTTTTCAAAATATGACCACCTTAAATTTCGCAAACCGTCGCTGATTTGCAAATTACAAATCATGATAGAATTTATGCCATACTGATGTAATCGCAAGAACTAATAGTGCAACTAAAATGGGTAGGTACTATTAAACAAATATTAAAACTAACCAAAATTGCCTAAATAATTACAACCAGTTTCTCCAGTCAAAACTGATTCTGCTTTATTAATATTTATAACACAATAAATTCAACAGTCTCCAATTCCTGGCCAATTTAATAAAATCATAAAATTAACCACAATTTTTTGTACAAGGTCATCCAAAACTATAACTTGGTTAATTTAACATATCGGGAAAGTAAAATATTCACCAATTTTTCACAAGGAATTTATCTTATTTATCAAAACCTATTCAATACCACATTCCAAAGATACAGGTACCAACTCTATTTTTTTTTTTTTTGTGGAACACATATACTTTTACATGTTTTGATAGAACATCTCAGGATTAAAGTGATATCTATCTCAGATTGATTTTCGAATCGTCAAGTCTTATTGAAGTGTATGATATACAGTGATGTGAACTTTGTCTTTTCTATTTGTCTACTTTTTTCAGTGTAGAATTTCTGGTCGGGCTATTTTTATAACAAACAACCCAAAATAACCCCTTTGGCACAAGGGTTTTTTCATTATTTTTTAAATTTTTTTCATGTGATAAATTGCCCAATAAATAAAAAACAACAAAAACTATGCCATAAAGAAGTAACATCTGAAAATATTAATTTTTTTCATTTACAGCACATTTAGTCATATTTCCCACATTTAGTCATATTTCCTCTAATATTAGATAGACCTGATATGTCTAATCTTTAGAAACCATTCTAACAGAAAAATATATAGGGTGTTCTTTGGAATGTGACGCTCGACTGTTTTTGTTTTTGATAAAAGAATCACATAGACCAATACAATTTGGCTATTCCTTATTCAAATAATTTTCAAGTCAAAAATTGGTAAATATGTAATAAATTTTACTGAAATAAACCTTTTTAGACGAATCATCAGTTCGAAAAAACTAAGATCTTTTTCTAAAATCCTTTTGGAAATTAACAGAAAATTTAAATGTATATTTGCTTTTTCTGAAAAATTATAAAAATAATTTTACTGCACAAACCCAAGACTATTGATACTTTTTTATCATATGTATATCTCCCTTGGGATTAGTAAACAAGCTATAAATATGTCTATACAAAAGGAGATAAATGTGAAAAACAAGTTTTATTCCATATTAACAACTTAACTCTGGTTTAAATATTAAGAAAATATAAATATAAAAATTAAAACAAAAACCAATGATTTACATATAAATTTCTATACAGCCATAATTGCTTTTTTTTATTGACAAATGATTAACTGTAACAACAAAACTATAAAACTTAAAAAAATTATAGGTATTAAAATTTTTTTCAAAAATCTTTTTTTAATACTTATGCAAGTTTTAGTTGAAACTACATTACATTCCTAAAACCCTATATTCAACATTATTCTTTAAATTAAATGACCCTATGCTTTTCAATATCCTCGAAAATTATTTGTACTTTCATCGATAATAGTCAGTATAAAACACATTTTTCTTTAAATATTATTTTTGAAAATACTCTGAATATTATTTTCTTCCAAAATACTTACCAAACTTAAATCCTCTGGATTTATAGGCTCTGTGCTCAAAACTTTTTCAGGCAGCGGTATATCCATCAAAATACAACGATTTAATGTTTTACTTAACTGCCTATTGTTCGCAAAGGCTTGTTGAACTTTAATATTATACATTTTAGTCCTTTCCAAATATTCATGCTGCTGCAAGTTATGTGAATCCAACGCAGCTACATCAATAACATTTCTAATACAAGAAAAAATTAGTTAAATCTAGTAACATTTAGCAAAAATGCATACTTACGTGGCTATTTCTTGTAATATTCTGTTAAGAGCAGATTGCTCATCAGTCTTCTTGGGTAAAGTATTAGAATTTCTGTTCGATATATCCTCACTAAAAAGGTAATCGTACTATATTGAGGTTAGGCACTTAAAACAAAAAAATTTTACCTGTTAACCCTTTGAATGTTAGTGTTATTAGAAACCGGATCTACTAAGAGATGAGTTCTTTCATTAGGTTCCCCAGACTAAAAAAAATATGTTTCAATTTATGGTATTATTGGTACAAATGTCAAACTCACCTGGGAAGAATTTTCATCCTTGCAAAAGAAGCTATAGCAACAGCCCATCATAATACTATTTCTATCTACCTACTTCCCAATCTTTTCAGTGTCATGTAGCGGCTCAAATTCCTTTATGTATTGGAATTTTCAATTCTCCAGTCATTTATTTACAATACAAAATACATAACATACTTTGACGGATGACCACTGTTGTTAACTTTGTCATAGACACAGAACACGGATGTAATTGGGAGTTGTGATATTCTGTGACTTTGTGGATTAGAGATGGGCGGAACATGACTGATCCGGTTCCTTCTCAAAGATTCTCTACAAATTTCGGATATTTACTTACGTTGCAGGATGCCGACGAATGTCCGAAGTCGTGAAAGGATATCTAGGGCTATGGAGTTAAGTGAAGACTCCGTGTCAAAAAAGTAAGCCATTTCTTGGTCACGTAAAGGCAGCGCGAATTAAGTAGAGTATGAAGAAGATGCGCGAGAAATTTGAAATGGCATAATGTTTATATAAACATAACTTTTATTTTTTTACTAATTATCAACAGTATTTTTGTTTTCTCACTTTATGTTTCTTTTACAAAGTAATTCGTACATAAATGTGATACATGTTTTTTATGTTGTTTGGTCATAAATAAAAATATCTTGTGCTACCACTTGGCAAAGAGTGTTCGTTTAAAGATAAGCGCTCACTTATTCGCGCCGAACGCAACGCACGTATCACCGGAATCGAAACAAAATATATTTTACATTGTTTTGTATGTACAGTATAGGAAAGCGCCGATGGTCTATCACAAGTTACGTGAGAGCGATAAAGTAAGACATAGAAATCCATGCGATAGAGAAGGATGGCTGTAATGAAGGCGTATCATAGTCAACGCCCATTACGCCATTCCGGCCGTGTATAAAAAAGGTGAAAAAAGTCTAATGAACAACTATAGGCCTATTGCATTGTCAAATATAAGCAAAGTTTTTAAAAAGATAATCTATAACAGAATATTACATTTTTTGGAATATCATGATCTGCTTACAGATGAACAAAACGGGTTTAGGAAAAATAAAACAACAACTAGGGCTATATATCAGGCATTGTGTGAAATTACAAGATTATTAAATGAAAAAAACAGTACCATGGCTGTATGCTTGGATTTATCCAAAGCGTTTGATTCTGTGGATCATGACATTCTGAATAAAAAGATTCAAATGTATGATATTCGAGGTGTGGCCTCAGAATTGATAAAATCTTACCTGCTGAATAGGAAGCAGTGTGTTGTAGAAACGGACGATACTGGCGCTCTCATAAAATCAAACGTAGTATTAATAGAAAGGGGTGTACCTCAGGGGTCGATATTGGGTCCTTTGTTGTATATTTTATACACAAATGACCTGCCCTCAACAGTTGATGTAAAAACTATTATGTATGCTGATGATACATCTATAATAATCGGTAATAAAAATAAGGAATACCTAAAACAAATGGTGACCGCCACATT